TATTATTATTATTATTATTAGTATTATTATCATTGCATGCTAAAATTAATTTTGCGCAAATGATTATTTTTCAAAATTTTAGTAACGTGCTCACTATTTTTTGTCTGTTTATCATTCTTTTTTCGCGTCGAAGAATTAATTAGCATTTACACAATCACAACGTTACTTATCACCTACTTAAATGTTTGAAAGCTAAAAATTTTTTCACAATCAAACTTTTTTACAAGCAAAAAATTTTGGACAGTTTCTAAGACAGATTCTCTTAGCAGACTTTCAGAAATGTCAAATGTCTAAGTAAGATACATCTAAGATTTTTAAAGAATGCACATGTAATTTTTGCGAATTTATACTTAAAACTTCTGTTTACTTTATTCTTTTATGGCGTTAGTTAGCATTAAGTAAATATTTTGAAAATTTTACAGATAAATAGTTTTCTAAGCCACTCATTCCATATGAAAACAATAACATTTATTGAAGTACAAAATGATTCTCATTTTCAAGAACAGATTATTAGTAGTATAGTTATGCAATGATTATTTTCTAAATTTTTGAAATGAAAAATAATAATATTAATGAAAAAAATAATAATATCATACATTTAAAAAAAATATATTTACGTATAAAAAATAATTATTAAAAAAAATAATATTATATTTTTGAAGTAACATATTTTTATGTGTAAAAAAATAATATTTATGAAGTTTTTTGTTAATTATTATTGAGTATTTTCGATGGTAATTGAAAATTATTTTCAAGTACCATAATGAAATACAAAGAAATTTTAAAAAAGGTAACGGTGATTTCAAGGTTTTTAGATGTTTGGAATTTAAAAAAAATATGGCGAATTAAATATGATACAAGTATATAAAATATTATCTAATTTAAAGTAAAAACTGATAATTATCATTCAAAGGATTAAAATGATTGTTATCAGTTCTTTATTTTTTGATGAGCATCCGTTTCTGTTGGATAATATTTTGTGTTGTGATGTAATTAATTACGCTAATTTACGTAAAATATTTGCTACGTGCATTTTATAGAACTAATTTAAGTGGGAAATGCACAAAAATTGTGAATATTCAACTCGTGAAATGTAATATAAAAAAACAACAGTTTAAATTTGAATAAAATAAGAGTGAAAGTTCATACGATCAAACCTTGAAAAGTATTCTTTTCTATGCAGCGCTTACATGCCCTCCATAAACTCGATAATTCTAACTTTTCACGACAAGTCTAACTTTTACTTTTTCACGTGTTTCCAAAAAGAATCAAAACTATAAATATACGTAGCTTAGTAGAATTAATGAATTTTGATTGTAAAAAAACTCATTTCAATAAATAATATTATATTGTGGAACAAGTTTTATAAAGTATCAAATAATTTAAAAGAATAGAATAAATAACGACAAAAAAAATCAGTTTAATAAATTAGATACTATTATTAATTATAATTTCGAATTAACTTAAATTTCAATGCACACTTTGCAAAGTAAATATTTTTTGATTATTATTACTTTACTTAATTAAAATTTCTTTCATCGAAATTTCTAAAAATTTGAATTTTCATCTATTTTGTCATTTGTTGCAAAAAAATATGCTTACAAAAATATAAATTAGACCTTGCTGGAACCGAATACACTTAAAAGACGGAAGAAGAGAAAAAAAATTGACAGTGAGATTTCGTATTTTCATTTGTGCAGCGACATAAAATATTGTTATGGACAGATGTCGTAGAATGATCAATACGAATTTCTGGAAAAAATCGACGTCTGGTTTCTGCTTATCTTTCTAGGTTGCAGGTATGTCATATATGTGGTATTTACGTGTTTGCATTTTAAAATTAATCTCATGAATTAATTACTTCAGTAGCAACAACGTTTTTTCAATTACATTATAATATTTAACAAATAAAGTATTTCCAAAATATGCTAAATTTATATTTTAATTTGTTACTCTTATATAGCTCCTATTACTCACTTAATCATATTTAAATTTTGACATTTTTAGTCAATCAGTAGCAATGAATTTGGTTTCTTTCATTTCATGAAAATTTCTTGCGTAATACTATGAAGTATAGGTAACCTTGTTTGTATCCAGCTGACAGTCGAAGGCCTATATATTTACATGATAGTGCTAAAGTTATGACGCACATTGATCTCTGTACGTGAAAGTGTTTGTGAAAGATTTGTCGACTTACCTGTAATGAAACATTGTTAAGGCTATGCGCTTCATAACTTTAGTACGTTTAATACATAAAGAAAAGCTATAAAAAAGTAACAAATTAAAATATAAATTTGGCACATTTTAGAAATTTTTCATGACTTTTTTTCGTCATCAATAAATTTTTTCCTAGGATTGCTGCGGAAATATACGTAGTTCTGTCTCGTAAGCACATATTCTCTTTATATGTAGAATGCATATCCCATATTAGTACGTTTAATATATGAAAATACTTTGTAAAGCATATTATCGTTATACATTGTATTTCGCTATGTTTTTAATGTATTTTAATTAACGTGGTTATACTCGAAATATATGAAAATATTTTATCAAAACGACGCGTGAATGAAAACTCGTAACTTTATCATTTTCAATCGAAAATCACTGGAAAGATTTTTATGTTCAATCTTCTGGTAATATTGCGTCGCATATATAACCATGTTTATGTTGCAGTTTTATGCTGATTACTGTTGCTAGCATTTTATTAAATGTAGTCAAAAACTGTTTAAAAGTTTCATAGTAATTGATTGCCTGAGCAAATTACAAAGAGTTCATCTCAGGAATTATGGAATATTGTGAAGTGTACAGAAGTAGTCATACTTTCGTTTACTTTATTGCGGCAATGTATATTTTCCATTGCAATTTCAAGTCGATGTGATGTTAGGTAAGATGGGTGAAAATGTACCGAAGTATGTCCCATCTTCTAATGGAATAAATGGACCACCTTATATGAATTCGTCCAGTGGGTATGCATCAGCAGTGCAGTATGCTCCATCGGGAGGAACAGATGGATCTAATGCAGTACCAACACAACAACAAGCACAGATGCAGTATGTGCAAGGAGGACCTGTTCAGCAACATGGGATGACTGTAGAAGAAGTTGCTATCGCGAAATTGGACAATTCAATTGCAAGCATGGAAGAACAGCAATTGACTTCTGATCCTCGTTATGCCCAAATGTTATTGCTGAAGCAAAAAATAACAGGTTTGTTGCTTTTATCGTTTTTATGTTTTTTTTTTTAGGATTTTAATTAACAGTGTTTGAAACAATACTTTTCTATGTACATCTCAACAATTAAGTCTTTTTGAGTCTGTCATTAGCAACAAAAGGAAAAAGTTGGTTTTGAAAGGAATTCTGAGAAATATGAAATGTCGAATAAATTTAATATATTAAATAACTTTAGTTTTAAAAAAATGTTTCGCAAAGTCTCAATTTGCAGGAGCAGCACCTACAGAAACAACGAAGCATCAACAGCAGGTAGAGGGAACAACTAAAGAATCGCAAGAAAACACGTTTACTTCTGAGCAGTTGGAACAACTGAAGGCGCAGGTAATTTTTTGTAAATATGAATTGAAGTTATAGAAAAAATATTTATTTGTTTTTAACTAGAGATTTCCAGATTGGTGCTTATAAACAATTAGCAGCTCAGGAACCAGTCGCTCCATCACTTATAGCGCTGTCTGTGTCGAAACCATCATCACTTCTCCCTGAGCCATATGAGTTTCCAGCTGAAACCGAGACTGGAGAAAAATTACCGTATGATTTAATGAAAATCCTAACTCTGCATCAGCAACGTGCTAATCGAAATACTTTCATTCCTCCGCCTCCTGGCATTGATCCACAGACGATTCTTAAAGAACGAGAATACAGGTCTAAAAAATTTAATATTTTTTGTTTTTTTTTGTATTATATTTGAATGATTAAATATATTGTGTAATTTGTGTTAATAAACTCCAGTTTGTATTTTAAGACATGATGCGAGATTTCCAATTATTTGTAAAACAAAGTATGTATCAGTTTCATTCGTGTTTTTCAGTGATTAGAGATTTGTAATGCCCCAAGAATCGTAATTATTTACTTGATTTCGAATGTCATTCAGGATACAAAATCGGATAGGTGCACGAATCCAGTGGCTCAGTAATCTGCCAGCAAATTTGAGCAAACGCTTATTAATAAAAGCTGAAATTGAGTTGCGTGCTCTTCGATTGCTAAATTTACAAACTCAGGTGAGTGTCATTTAATTTACAAAATTCTTGTGGTTGTGCCTTTATTTTTCTGTAATGTTTGATGCTGCTTCAGTGTGTGATTAGAGTCTCATATATTTCCTTTGGCACCAAATCAGTGTAATTTTGTAGCTAAAACATTATCTTTTAGAAATTAGGAACCGGAAGCGTTTCAGATGATAAGAGCATATTGATTTGTTGCTGTAGTTTCTTTAGCAGGAAAATTAAAACATCATTTATATTATTTCAGGTGCGTACTGAGGTCCTAAATCAGTTAAAAAAAGACACTACTCTTGAAACTGCGCTGAATCCATATGCATATCGTCGCACTAAACGACAATCATTACGAGAAGCACGAGTAACTGAAAAATTGGAAAAACAGCAGAAGGTAGAACAAGAACGTCGTCGACGACAAAAGCACAATGATTTGTTACAAGCCATTTTACAACATGGCAAGGAATTTAAAGAATATCATCGGAACAACCAAGTTAATTTCCTTCCACATTTACATACATTTTCCTTTTTTTTCCAGTCTAGAAATTTTAGAGAGGAACATTTTCTAGGTAAAGCAAAGCAAAATAAAGAAAGCCGTTTTGACTTATCATGCCAACAGTGAGAAAGAACGAAAGAAGGATGAACTCAGAAATGAACGCATGCGAATGCAAAAATTAATGCAAGAGGATGAAGAAGGTTACAGGTGTGATGCTGTTTATTGTGTTCCTACACTTTTCTATTAAAGTTTTGCTTCATACTGTTTAGAAATATTTTAGTAATCTTATTATGGTCTATATTTTAGGCAGTTATTGGATGAAAAAAAGGATAAACGATTAGTTTTTCTTCTTCAGCAAACTGATGAATATGTTGAGAGCTTAACAGGACTTGTCAAGCAGCATCAGGCAACTGAAAAAAGAAGGAAACGTAATGAGCGTCGTGAGCAAAAAGCTAAAGAAAAGATGCAAGGTTTCACTTTCAATATTTCACTATTTCTTTAAAATTTAGAAATACTACTACTGGTAGAAATACCGCACATAATTCTATTCAGAAAATGGGGATTCTGAAGTGCGGATACGCATAAGAGATACTACCACTGGAGAAATATTGTCTGCAGATCAGATGCCAAAATCAGAAGATATCGATATTTGGCTTGAAACTCATCCTGGACATGAAGTAATATTTAATTCACACTGAAAAATGCTCAAGCTTCACAGTGTTATTTTTACCAAGAAATAAATGTACTGTCAGAAATTTTAGATCCTTTGTATTCCTATCAAAAACATGAAGAGCTCTACAGTTTCTATAGGTGGACAATTTTATCCTAGATTAAAATCATTTTCATGGTAGTGTGAAGTTTACACTGGTATAATGAGATGAAATTATGCTCCATATTTGATTTCTAAGATATCGTGTTCTCAAACTCGTGCTAATTTGTTAAAAATATTTTCGAAGGTCGTCTTACGTGAAGATTTCTCCGATAGTGAAGATTCAGAAGCAGATGAACCAATGCCAGAACCTATTGAGCAGAAAAAAGATGATGAGTTTGAAGGTATATGCTGTAGCAAGTGCATATTGTTATTTTAGTTATGGATAACTTAGTTGATTCTAATGTAAGTTAGAAATAATTTTATTGACTAAATTAAATAGGTCTTGATGAGGAGACACGAAATCGTAAGATCATTGAAAAAGCTCGGAATGAAGAGGATGAATATGACCAAAAGAACAGGCGACAAATGGAATCATATTATGCTACAGCACACAAAGTCAAGGAAAAAATTGTAACACAACACTCATCTTTAGGTGGTGATAATCCGGC